TGAAAAACACGTCAGTTAACAAGACAAAAATAAAGTTTCTTTTGTTTATGATATAAAATACTTCAATAAATAAACAGATACTGTGTATCAAAAAGCACACTGCATGTATTCTGGAAAGACACAACTACAAAAATGGGCAATACAACATATATAACTACTAGTCTGTACACGACATTTAAATGTAGAAACTGTTGAATAAAATTTCAAAAACCAAGTACATTTTTACTAAAATTAAATTAACCTCTAAAGCACTACCTCTTATGGTAACACTACATGCTTGCTTCACTGCATTTTAACATTACAACACAGGCAACATAAAACCTTTTGGAACTGGATGGGCTTGGTGTATTTTGTCATCAGGTAGGCTTGATGTATTTTGTTATCAGGTAAATTTACTTCTGTGCAATGTACCTTCTCGGGTAATTTAAAAGTAACTCAAACGGTTCTAAGTCTCTTCCAGTTAGTTAGTTCGTCGGTATATTTCAATATCAAAATATTATAAAGAGTATTAATCGGTAATGATACTTATATTTCACAGCCGACAACAAAGAAAAAACAAGCTGCTTTAAACACAGGGTGACCTGATGTCTCAGTTTTGTCGAGACAGTCCCATTTTTAAGTAGTTTATCCCAATGTCCCAAGAAAAGTTCTCAGGATGTACAAAAAGTCCCAATTTTATGATAATGACATCAAACTGTTAGTTACATACAATCACGAATGTAATAGGCCTACTTGACTTGCTTATTGTCGTAACAAGTACCCTCCCGTCTTCAAACTCTCCCAAGCTCCTTCTGTGCATGGTGCAAGTCTACACAGGTTTGAATGTACAGAAGGTTTAGGCAAGTGTTTATCATCAAACTAAATTTCATGTACTGATTTTTATGACTACATAACTTCTACATTCTATTCATTCTTCACAAAAACGTGTCTAAAAAGTTTGAAAGTAATATTAACACCTAAAAGTAATACGTTACAGATTCTGGAATAAATCCAGATATTAAGTAACCTATTTCAACGTGAATTGGGTAAAGTCAATAATTAAGAATTTCTTATATGTATAATTTGACTAATTTATGTCTATCATTTGTTTTATGTCTATCGCTAAAAAAATGTAGTTGAAATTAGTTCACAGTCAATGTTAATATATTTGGAAATATTGTGGAACAGTTCAATAAATTTAATAGTAAATTATTTCAAATTTGTAATAACGAATTTGAAATTAGAAACAAGGGCTGGGCTATCCCAATTTTTCGGTTTGGAAATCTGGTCACCCTACTTAAACACCAACCAAAAAAATCACATGAATGTTGTCAAAATTAATCTCTGAATTCGTACTTAGCATTATACCAGTTTAAGGTCCTATACATGAGAATGCAAACATCTGTTATTAATGAATTTCTACCAAGCCAATGCATATAACCTTCAATAATAATAAATGTAAAAACAGATATTACAAAACTACTTTGAAAGTAATTTATAACTTTGTTAGGAAAAGTTTGCAGATGAATAGAACACATATTGGTTCCTTGTTATCAACAATAGTTAGGCTAATGATTCCTTGGCAATAAACCAGCTGGATTAATGATCCATCACAATAAACCTAACTTGGATAATGATTTTATACCATCAAACTAGTAAGGCCAGAAACTCTTTACCACTGACCTAACTGGATTATTGATTCTCTGACTGCAGTCTAGTGGGTTTGTTTGTTATGAATTTTGCGCATAGCTACACGAGGGCTATCTACACTATCTGGATGTTTCCTAGAGTTACCAATCATATCACATCATCAGATAACAATGGATGTTTCCTGGAGTTAAGGCCCACTTACATGACCTTTCCAAAATAATAAAATTACTAACAGCAACTTAAGGAAGATGTTAAAAATTCATCTTTGTATATAATATTAGGCCTAAGATTAAAACACAAAAACAGTCACAGTTAGGTGGTAGATATCCAAGAAGAAGCTATAGGCATTTATAGTAGCGATGTATTAGAAACATGTTAGGCATTTATAGTAAGAATGTGGTAAGTATTAGAAATGTGTTAGGCATTTATAGTAAGAATGTGGTAAGTATGTACTAGAAATGTGTTAGGCATTTATAGTGGGAATGTGGTAAGTATGTATTAGAAATGTGTTAGGCATTTATACTAAGAATGTAGTAAGTATGTATTAGAAATGTGTTAGGCATTTATAGTAAGAATGTGGTAAGTGTGTACTAGAAATGTGTTAGGCATTTATAGTAAGAATGTGGTAAGTATTAGAAATGTGTTAGGCATTTATAGTGGGAATGTGGTAAGTATGTACTAGAAATGTGTTAGGCATTTATAATGGGAATGTGGTAAGTGTGTACTAGAAATGTGTTAGGCATTTATAGTGGGAATGTGGTTCATAAGTAAGGAAGTACATTATGCTAACATAATAATAGGTAGGCAAACGATGATTTATAAGCATAAAAAAGAAATTTATTTATGGTGGCACATACTACATGTTGTGATAGAACATTAATCTGTCTTCTTCAAGAATGCATTTATAGTAGGAATGTGGTCAATATACATTACAGACGTAGTAGGTATTTATAGTAGGAATGTAGTAGGTATACATTACAGATGTAGTAGGTATTTATAGTAGGAATGTGGTAGGTATACATTACAGACGTAGTAGGTATTTATAGTAGGAATGTGGTCAATATACATTACAGATGTAGTAGGTATTTATAGTAGAAATGTGGTAGGTATACATTACAGATGTAGTAGGTATTTATAGTAGGAATGTAGTAGGTATACATTACAGACGTAGTAGGTATTTATAGTAGGAATGTGGTCAATATACATTACAGATGTAGTAGGTATTTATAGTAGGAATGTGGTAGGTATACATTACAGACGTAGTAGGTATTTAGAAACATCAAGTGAAGTATCTTGTCCTTGCAATCTCTACATGTAAAACTGGTTTCTGGACGAACAAACGTTCCTAAAACAAAACATCGTGGAAGGATGACTACCGAGGAAGAAGGTTTGTTAGGGTTAATCCAGATAATTAAATAATAATATTCAACAGTCACGTGATGCATCATACTCCAACAGATATGTCTGTCCAACTCAAACTGTGTTCTTATTCTGAGTTCCTAGACACGTGGAAGTTACCTCACTCATCTTGTCATCAAAAAAGTCGACAGAGAACCATTTACAAACTAAAAAGACCCTTAGTAAGTGCAAACCCATACCTCGCAATGTGTTTTTTTTTTAATTTCACATTATCGAATCTAAAACATACACCAAACAATTCCCTAACCTCAAAGTTGTAGATCTGTGTGCGAAAATCTTCTTTCTCTCTCAGTTCATTGTCGAGTTTGACTGTTGTGCAAAATACCAATTTGTTAACATTATAACGAAAGTGGTTTACTTTTAACGTGACCTTAAAGTTTGACCTATATTCACCAATGCTACTCAATTTTCATATGGAATTGGCCAGGCATGGCCATGTGGTTAGGGCG